CTGACAAGCATAGCTTTGAGTTGACACGCTTAAGGATGCTTTGGGCAGAATACTGAATGATCCAAGAAGCATCAAAACAAAATAGAAAGAGTATACAGAGTCACTGTACCAAAAAGAATTGGCTAACAAAGAATTTTATGAAACAACATATTACCAAGAGGCCATGATGATGGAAGAAGTTCAAGTTGCTCTAAAGGAATTGGCAAAAAAAACAAGGCCCCAGGAATCCATGGAACACCAACAGACGTATTTCAACAAACAGATGTAGCCCTAGGCATGCTCACCATGCTACACCAAAAAATCTGGTGGACCACCACCTACTCAACTGGAAGAGATCCATATTTATTCCCATTCTAAAAAAAAAAAAAAAAGAAAGGTGACCCAACAGAATATAGAAATTATCAAACAATATCACTAATATCACATGCCAGTAAAATCTTGCCAAAGATTATCTAAAATGACCGAACGGTACATCAACAGAGAACCATCAGAAATACAAGCTGGTTCAGAAAAGGCCATGGCCCTAGAGACATAATGGCCAATGTCAGATGGACGTTGGCTAAGCAGAGAGAACCAGAGAACGTCTATCCATGTTTCATTGGCTATGCAAAGGAATTTGAGTGTATGGATCACAAATTGTGGCTTACCTTTAGAAGAATGGGAATCCCAGAACGTTTGATTGTGCTCATGCAAAATATACAGTTGGACCAGGAGGCAGTCATCAGAGCAGAGCAAGAAAAAAAATGTGTGGTTCAAAATCTGGAAAGCAGTGTGTCAGGAATATATCCTGTCTCCCTATCTTTTCATTCTATATGCAGAAGAGATCATTCAGGAGGCTGGGGTCTATGAGAAGGAATGCTGCTTTAAGATTAGAGGAAGACTCATCAACAACCTGTGTTATGCAGATGACACAACAATCAAGTATCTCCTTGAAGGTAAGGATTCTGAAGCTCTGTCTCACATACTTTAGGCACATGGCCAGGAAGGACCAGTCCTTGGAGAAAGACATCATGCATGGAAGGGTGAAGGAAGAGCATAAGAGAAGAAGATCCCAGATGAAATGGATTGACACAGTAACTGGGATAACAGGGCAGAGTCAGTGAGACTGGCTCAGTATAGGTCAAGGTTTAGAGTTATTGTAAATAAGGCCACTATTTGCCTATGTTTCATTGACTACTCAAAGGTGTTTGTGTGGATCACAATAAATTGTGCTTAACCTTGAGAAGAATGAGAATTCCAGAACACTTGATTGTGCTTATGTGAAACCTATGCTTGGACCAAGAAGCAGTCCTCAGAACACAACAGGGAAAAAATGCATGGTTCAAAATTAGGAAGGGAATGTGTCAGGGATGTGTCCTGTCTCCATATAATTTCACTCTACATGCAGAACAGATCATTCAGGAGACTGGGTTTTATGAGGAAGAATATGGCATCAATATTGGAGGAAGACTCATCAACAACCTGTGCTGTACTGATGACACAACCTTGCTTGCTGAACTGAGTAGAACCTGAAGCGCTTACTGCAGAAGGTGAAGGACTGTAGTCTTCCATATAGATTGAAGCTCAACATCAAGAACACAAAGATTCTCACCACTTTACCAATTGGTAGCACCATGATGGATGAAGAAGATTGAGATTGTTGACAATTACAGCTTGCTCAGCTCCATACCAGCAGTCAGGAAATCAAAAGGCAAATTGCATTAGATAAATCTGTTGTCAGGAAACTTTCCAGAGTTGTGAGAAGTAATCATGTCAGTATAGAGACTAAGGTGAGCCTGATCTGGTCCCTGGTCTTCACAATTACTTACATTACTTGCACTCACATTATTCAGAGAGCTAGATAATGGCTAAGGAGGATAGAAGAAGAAGGTCTGTCTTAGAGAGGGTGAAACCAAGCATCTCCTTGGAGGCTACGATTTTTAAGCCTCATCTCACACACTTTGGGCACGTGACCAGGAGCGATTTTTTTTTTTTTAAAAAGAGGGAAAACAGAGTGGCACAAAAGATGATAGAGTTGCTAGTATTATGCACTCATCTCTACACTAAATCCACTGCCAACAAGTCAATTCTAACTCATCATGGCTCTATAAAACAGAACAGTCCCATATGATTTCAAAGGCCATAAATCTTTACAGAAGACTGTTATGGTTCTTCTCCCTCAGAGCAGTTAGTGGGTTTCACTTAACTATCACAAGATCACTATCTCTATACTAGAAGAAATATTAAGTGAACAAAGATCACCTGTTGTTAGGGTGAAAAGAAAACCTACAGACTGGGAACAAACCTTTGGTAATACCATCTCAGACAAGAGTCTTATAACAAAAGTTTACATAATATCCCTGGGCCTCCACAAGAAAAAGACTGATAACCCAACTACAAAATGGGCAAAAGTCATGTAAAGAGTTTTCACAGAGGAAGATATTCGAATGGCAAACAGACACAATCTCAAGATATGCTCCAAATCATGGGCAGTAAGAGAGATGCAAATCAATACCACAATGAGGTACCATCTCACTCCAGTAACAGTAGCAAAGTTTAACAGGGCAGCAAGTAATAGATGCTGGGAAGAATGTGGCAAGAAAGGAACTCTTATACATTCATTGTTGGTGGGACTGTAAAATGGTGCAACCATTCTGAAAGGCAGTTTGGCACTTCCTCAAAAATCTGAACATAGAAATTCCATATGACCCAAATATTCCACTACTTGGAATATACCCTGAGAATATGAGAACTGAGGCACAAACAGAGAACTGTATACCAATGTTCATAGCAGCATTATTCACCATCACAAGAACATGGAAACAGCCCAAATGCCCAACCACAAAAGAATGGATTGAGAAATTATGACACATTTACACAATGGAATACTATACAGCACACAGGAGCAATAACTTTGTAAATTATTTCCTAACTTGGGAGGGACTGGAGAGCATTATGCTGAGTGAACTCAGTCCCACAAGGATAAATATTGTATAATACTGTTATTATAGAATGAGTATTAAGGATCCAGGAGGGGTGGGAGAGGCTGGAAGCAGAGGGATGTGGATGTACAGGGGGAAGAGAGGATTAATCATTGGGTTGTATAATTTGATAGGGGGGGGTGAGGAAAATTGAAAGAATTTGTTCAAATTTGTATTAGAATTTTGTAAATAAACTAGGGAAAAAATAATGACCAAAAAAATCACCTGTTGTTATTGTTGTATACTGTAGAGTCATAGCTGACCCTCCAGCAGGTTTTCAGAGGCAGGTAATCACATGGAAGAAGAGTGCCCATCTTTCTCCCATGAAGCAGAGCAGCTGGTTGCCTGGAACCACATGTCTTTGGTTTTGCAGCACAGCTTCTTGTCAAGAGGCCAGTTCTTACCAAAAATAAAACTATGTACCAAATTTTAATACTCTTCAAACTCTTTTTTCCCCCAAAAAATATACAATGTTAATTGTAACTAAGACAAATTCTAACATTATTGTATCCAATTCATTTTCTAGGAGAGGTCAAACCAAACAAGAAGTGATATCAATGGAGAAAATAAGATGTCAGGACTTAGATAATAATCTGCTAGTTCATCTGAGTTAAGTGGCTATGTAACTATGACAAAATTACTGACCACAGCTCCTTCCTTTCTCCCATAAAACAAGGTGGGGCAAACTAGATTACCTGACTCTGAAAATCATACTCACTGTCCTGATTCTGAATCAGTGACATTCCATGAAGTTTCAGAGGCTAGTAATCACAGTGCCAGCCCACCTTTCTCCCATCAGAGATTGCACTACCAGCAATCTACCAAAAACCTTTGGATTATTAGTGCAACTCCCTACCGACTACACCACCAAAACTAAAAATTCCAAAATTCCATCAAATTTGTAAACTATCACAAAATATTTTTAGCTCTTTAACATAATGGCACAGTAGTTAAGCACCCAGTTGGTCAGAGGTTAGAATCCACCAGGCTCTCTGAAATAAAGAATTATATGGGGCAATTCTACTTTGTCCAATGGGGTCACTTTTTTTTTTCCTTGTGGTATACCATCGAGTCAGATCTGACTGGCACAGGAGATTATCACTCCGTTTCCAGCAGATCATCTGGTGGATTTGAACAGTGAACCTTTGGGATTACAGCGCAGTTTCTTGCCACTAGGCCACCAGAGCTTCCTAAGCAGATTCACTTTTAAGTTTGAATCAACAGTATGACAAGAAGCTCTGCTAGTAATATTGAACTGCCCTACCAATCCAAAGGGATCTAGTTCGAATCCATCAGCGGCTCAATGGGAAAAAGATGGTCACACTCTACACTCTTCCCAACAATTTACTACCTCTGAAAGTTGGTAATTACGCTTACTTCTTAATACCGCTAGAGGACCAGTTACGAGTAGAATTTGCCTTGACAGTGCATAACAAGGGACCTACAGGGTCTCAGTATCAACTAGATGGCTGTGGGTTAATTAGGATTTAGGGTTAAGGGAAAGATCATGCCTAATTCTACTCGTACTCAATGCTGGGCATAGCGCCTGACTTGCAGGTGCCCAACAATCACTTATATAAAATAACTATAAAAATGGAATCCCTGAATCTGGAAATTTCAATTTCTAGTCTCTCAGGTTTTAATTTACAAAATGAATACGTTTCCTCTCCTTTTTTTTTTTTTTTTATAAAACTCTTAATTGTGCAACGCAACCTCATCCTTTCACTGGTTACTATCATCCTGCGTGCTTGACTGCTGAGCTACAAGTGACGTGAGAGTTGGAGGCCTTCCTTCCATTTATATGTGCAAGATGCAGGCCTCAGGAGCATGCTTAAAACAGTCACCTGGAGGAAACGCCTCCCTGTGACCACACCCAAACCGGAAATGAGGATGCCACCGGGATTGATGGGAGAGCAAGGCCGGTTCCGTGCTGCCCGGAACCGCCCCGCCGGTGACGTCACAGCCCGCCCCGTGACCCCGACGGTCCCGCCCCCTCCCCTGCCTTCCCGGTTGCCGGCGGCAGCGGAGTGGAAAGTGGCGATGGAACAGTCCAAGCCAGAGGCCTTGCCTGCGGGCGAAGCGGCATCCTGCTCCTCCTGGGGTGCCGGCAGGTGAGGAGGCGACTGCGTGTGCAAGGAAGTAAGGGGTGGCGGGCAGGACCAGAGAGAGTCCTGACTTTGTGCTGCTCCTCGGGCGTACAGGAAAGGTACGAGAGGCCGCGGAGCCGCTCTGAGCGGGCCCTGGGAGGCGAGGGGAGCGCGTGGAGTGGGTGTGGCGGCGTGGGCTCGAGCCCCTTCAGTTCCTGCTTTCGCCTGCAATCAGAGCCACTTCCCGCCCCTTTCAGCGCTCCCTTAGTTCCGGTTGGGGTCTCCTGACCTCCTTTCTGTTGGTCACCGGACAAGGGGGAAGATGAGTTTTGGTCCCATTCTCTTGTGAGTTCTGTAATTCACTTTGCACTTCTTTTCCTCCTTTCTGTAAAGTGTAAATGCTCCTCTGAGCACTTTCTTCAGTGAAATCCTCCTTTAAAAGCTGTGCCCTGAGGGTATTTGATAGTTACAGTCTGGACACCTTGAGGTCTCTGTACCTCTAGTTTAAAACAACAGTAACAACAAATAGAGGGTAAGGGGGGAGTGCCTGAGTTACCTATATTTTCTAATTGTGAGATTGTTCTTTACCTTCCAAAATTCACTCTTCCAAAATTGTGGGATGGCGTTGACGCCAATTGAGTGGACGTGTGACAGGCGGGAGAATGCTCCTTGTTTGGATCTCAAAAATTTCTTTGCTAAGTAACTAAGCCCTTTTCCATATAGTACAGACTGTAATTTCAGTTGTTGTGGTTGTTATGTCTCGTCGAATCGTCTGCGACTCATAGCGACCCTATGTACAACAGTCCTAAATCCTGTGCCAATCTCACTGTCTCTGACAAACCTACCCGATTACCCCAGTCACTGAATCAATCCATCCCATCGAGGGTCTTCCTCACCTGCACTGCCCGTCCACCCTCTCAAGCATGACGTCCTTCTCCAAGGACTGGTCCCTCCTTGCAACATGTCCAGAGTATGTCAGACAAAGCTTCAGAATCCTTGCCTCCAAGGAGCAGTATGGTTTAACCCTCTCCAGAACAAACCTGTTTGTTTTCTTAGCATTTATGGTATATTCAGTACTTTTCTCCAACACCACAGCTCAAAGGCATCAACTCTCCCTCTATCCTCCCTAGTCATTGTCCAGCTCTCTGAGCATAGCAAGTGATTGCAAAGACAGTGGCATGTATCAGGCACACCTTAGTCTCCAGACTGACTTCGTTGCTTCTAAGTACTTTAGATGACTTAAGATAAAAGTTTTATCCTGTCTACTTCTAGAAAATAATAAAGGATAAGTGTATTCAGCTGAAATGGTAAATCTTATAACACTTTGTGTAGTTTTTTCATCTGCCAGTTCCCAAAGAGTGGGTTCTGACTCTTGTTGTATTACAAAATGCAACAGAGATTTATTCTCTATGGGAATATCTTTTGGCCTTTCTTCAAAGGAGCTACTAGTTGGACCATAGTATTTAGGTTTGTAGTTGTTATTATGTACCATCCAGTTGAACTGACCCGTCGCTGACCCTCCAGTGTGTTTTCCGAGGTAGTAAATAGCATGGAAATAGTCAGGAAATCAGAAGATGTATGCACTGGGAAAGTCTGCAAAGACCTCTCATTATTGAGGAGTAATGATGTCAGTTTGAGGACTAGGTGCATCTGATACAGGCCATATTCTTTCCAGTCACTTGCTATGCATCTAAGAGCTGGAAATGAATAAGGTTGACAGAAGAAGAATTGATGTCTTTGAGCTATGGTTGGTGTTAGAGGAGAGCACTGAGCATCCCATGGATGGCCAAAAGAACAATTATGTCTTGGAGAGGATGCAGACAGAGTGCTCTTTGTAGGCAAAGATAATGAGGCTTTGCCTCACATACTTTGGGCATGTTGACAGGAGGGGCTATTCCTTGGAGAAGACATGATGTTCATAAAAGTGGAGGGTTAGCAAAGGAGAGGAAGACCCTCAAACAGACGGACTGAAACAGTGACTGCCACATTGGGCTCTAATGTGTCAGGAAATGTGAAGATGGCACAGTATAAGACAGGATACAGATCTTTTGTTCAGAAGGCCACTATGAGTTGTACTCAACTCAGCAGCAGCTAACAGCAACATAGCACAGGAGGAAATTGCCCAGCTTTCTTCCTCAGAGAAGCTAGTGGAATTGAAGTACTTCCCTTTGGGTAGGCAGTGTAACTCCTGGTAGCCCAACTCAGACTCTACACCAGTCCAGCAACCTAAGAAATATTTTTGTTGTTAGGCGCTATGAAGTTGACTTCTACTCATAGCAACCTCATGTCAAAAACCTTCTCCTTCTGCACTGTCATCACAATCACTGCTATGCTTAATTCCATTGTTTTATCTTGATGACTATCATCCTCCTTTTCATTAACCTTCTGCTTTTCCAAGCTTGAAGTCCTTTATCAGAGACTAGTCCTTCCTGATAATTTGACCAAAGGATATGACATCAGTCTTAGCCATCTTTGCTTCTAAGGAGCAGTTGGCCTACATTTCTGCTAAGGCAGATTTACTCTTTTGGCAGTTCGTAGTGTATTTCATATTCTTCACCAACACCACAATTCAAAGGCATCAGTTTTTCTTCAGTCTTCTTTATATTTATTATCCACCATTCACACACATATGAAACAATCAGACTTACACATTGGCCTTTATGCAACTGAAGAGTGTAATCCTTGCTCTTAAGTTGCATAATACACAGATGAACATTGCATAGTGAATAAGAAAGACCAAAAATGCCTTTGAATTGTGATGGTCCCATGTTTTACTCTGTAGGAGGCTGGAAGGTTTTAGGGGGTCCACTTTAATGGAAGACTTCTTTGTCAGTTCTAGAGGAAGGTGCTTGTGGTTTTCAGCATCTTTAGACCAAGGATACCTTGCAGATTTTAGTATGTCTTGATCTTCCCCTATTTTCTAGGCACTTTCCAGGACAGGAACCTGAGTCTAGAGGTTCTTCCACACTGTGCAAACTAGGAAGAAAGCCCATCCAAACATCAGCCAGTGAAAACCCTGTGGTTCTTAACAGTCAGATGGTCAACTGTCGTGATATAGCTGTGGACCAGGCAGTGATTTCCCTCCCTTCCCCCTGCCACCCTATGTGTGAGATTGCTGTGAGTTGTGAGTGGGCTCAGTGGAAGCTAGCAATAATAAATTTGTTGTTGTTGTTACGTGCTGTCGAGTAGCTTGTGACTCATAGCAACCCTATGTACAACAGCCCTAAACTCTGCTCTGTCCTGTGCAAATCGCACCGTGTCGCAATCACTGAATCAATCCACCTCATAGGGGGCCTTTCCCTTCTGCACTGTCCCTCCACCCTGCCAAGCATGATGTTCCTCTCCAAGGAACTGTCCCTCCTTGCAACATGTCCAAAGTATGTTAGACGGAGCCTCAGAATCCTTGCTTCCAAGGAGCAGCCCAGTTTAACCCTTTCCAGGATGAATCTGTTTGTTTTCCTAGCAGTCCATGGTACCCTCAATACTCTCTCCAGCACCAAAGCTCAAAAATATCAATTCTCTTTCTATCCTCCTTAGTCATTGTCCAACTCTCTGATGCATAACAAGTGATAGCAAAGACCATGGCGTGTATCAGATGCACATTGGTCTCCAAAGAGACACCATTGCTCTTCGGTACTTTGGAGAGGTCCCTAACAGCAGACTTTCCCATGGCAATACGTCTTCTAATTTCCTGGCTTCTGGTGCCAAGAGTGTTGACTGTGGAGCCAAGAAAACTGAAGCTGTGAACAATCTCAATCTCTTCACCATCCATCCTGATACTGCCAATGGGCCCAGTGGTGAGAATCTTTTTTTTCTTGACATTGAGCCTCAATCCATATTGGAGGCTGCAGTCCTTGACCCTCTGCAGCAAGCGCTTCAGGTCCTCCTCAGTTTCAGCAAGCAGGGTTGTATCATCTGCATATCGTAGATTGTTGATAGATCTTCCACCAATCTTGACCCCACATTTCTCCTCATAGAGCCCAGCCTCCGGGATAATATGTTCTGCATACAAGTTGAAAAGGTATGGAGATAGGACACATCCCTGGCGTACGCCCTTCCCAATTTTGAACCATGCAGTGTTTCCTGCTCTGTTCTGACGACTGCCTCTTGGTCCAAGTATAGGTTTCTCATGAGAACGATCAAGTGTTCTGGTATTCCCCTTCTTCTCAGAGTCAGCCACAGTTTGTTATGATCCACACAGTCAAACTCCTTTGCATAGTCAATGAAACACAGACATATATTCCTCTGGTATTCCCTGCTTTCAGCTAAGATCCATCTAACATCAGCTACAATATCCCTAGTACCACGACCCCTTCTAAACCCAGCCTGGACTTCTTGCTGTTCTCTACTGATGTGTTGTTCCAGTCGTTTTTGAATAATCTTCAGTAGAATCTTGCTTGAATGTGAAATTAATGATGTTACTCTGTGGTTTCTGCACTCTGTTGGGTCACCTTTCTTTGGGATGGGAGCAAATATAGATCTCTTCCAGTCAGTTTGGCCAGGTGGTTGTTCTCCAGATTTCTTGGCACAACTTGGTGAGCACGTCCAGAGCAGCATCTGTTAGCTGAAATATGTCAGTTGGTATACCATCTATTCTTGGGGCCTTATTTTTTACTATTTCCTTCAAAGCAGCTTGAACTTCCTTCATCACCATAGGCTCTTGCTCATATGTTGTTTCATTAAATTCTTCTATGTCTGCCGATTCTTTTTGATACAGTGACTCAGTATATTCTTTCCATCTTCGTTTAATACTTCCTGGATCATTTAATATTCTGCCTAAAGCATCCTTGATTATAGCAACTCGAGGTTTGAATTTGTTCTTCAGTTCCTTGAGCTTAATAAATGCATACAGACAGGACAAAAAAGGAAATATAATTTTAACACTTTCTAAAATTCTTTAAGTGGCATCATGGATAATAAAATAATGTGTTTAGTTTGTAAAACTGATCCTATGTATTTGACAATCAAAGGTTAAATTTCAGAATATGAATGTTTAATAACTCTTGCTAAATGTAATCTCTCTTACAAATTTGTATGGGGTTTTGTTTTGTTTTCAGTTCAAATACAGATTTGCCCACCATGTCAACAGAATATGTGGAGATTGATGATGCATTGTACAGGTAAGTTCTCATCTAAATAGAAGGAAACGTAACATAGGGGCACAGGACTGTGAGTATCTCCAAAGGGCCAGAGAGAGTAAGAATAACACAGCCATCTCTGCCCCAGAGAAGAAAGCAGATCAGAATCCCATTGCCTCAAGAGCCCCAGCAGTGGAGGTTCGTTAATTTGTTTGGTGACAGAGTTATGGTACCAACAATTCGGTTAGGGAAGGAATTTAGAGAGTGGGAGAAGCAAATAATATCACCAGGTTTAGTCTGACAGTCCCAAGGTACAACCCCTCAGTCTAAGCTCTGATTTCAGTTCAGCAAGCAGCTTTTCCTTTCGTCATCAAAGGCAAGAACAGCAAATTCCAACTGTGGCCAGCACAAATGCAAGAAGCCTCAGGTCACACTTTGCCACCATTTATCCACAGCAGTGCCAGTCTCTCTACCACCAGGGTCTCCCTCTCACCAAGGTCTTGCCACCACAAGTCTTTCTCGCCTCAAATCTTGCTGCTCCAAGTCTTCCTTCCCAGTTTGAAAAGCACTTTTTATAGTGCTGCTTTAGCTGTTGCTTAACAAGACCATGTGTCTGTGGTTAAGGTAGATAGAGACCGCAGGGGCTAACAGCTAAAAAAAGCCAACTTTTAGGCTAACCCCACAGTTCTTAGAGGAGAAACATATTTTCTCCATTCATGTTTCCAAGTAGTGGAGAACTGTATTTGAAGATACCATTAGGCTTATGCACAAATTTTTAAGTATCTTCTGAGTAACTGCTCAAGTTAAAACTAATATATTTGCTTCTTATTTTTAATTCAGCTCTAAATATAAATTTAACTATATATCACAATAGTGGGCTTGATGGCAGAGAGGTGAGAAAGGCAAAAAAAAAAATTAGAACCTGATTTTGATCTGTTCACTTTGAGTCAATAACACCTAACAACAGCAGTGTCTAAAAAGCTTTCATAATATTCAGATGTCCATATGTTTGGTTTGTTGGGTGTTGGGATTTTTTTGTTGTTGTTTTTGTTTTAAGTGCTTTAACTGAAAAGGATTTTCTGTCTTCTAAAAATATATTTTCCAGTGCAACAATGAATGAATGAAAACCCAAAATCTCTGTAAATGTTCATTAAAACTAATAAAATTTAATAATTAAAAAAAATAAAAATATATTTTCTGATTTTGGATAAGAACATTCTTAATATTGTAGAAGTCTCATAAAAACGACTAGTCTTACTTAAGTACAGTGGAATGGAAAGAATAAAATGACTGCAGTGCAATCTCATTAGCAGCATTGTGTAATTGCATTGTCTGCACAGTGGAGTAATTAAGAATTATGACTTAAAAGAGATTTAGTTGAACCTTTTTAGAACTAGGGTTTTTTCCCAAAGAAGTATTGATACGAAAATACTGTTTGCAGTATCAAGGAAGAATTGAAATAGTACATTACTTATGCTGTTGTTCCTGAAAGTTATTTTTTCATAGTTGAAATTGTTTGTATGGAAGATAGCATAGTCCTAGTTTAAAGTTCTGTTAACTTGAAGATAGTGCCTCTGGAAGTTAGAATCCATCAGAAGTTCTGAGGTGAGAAAGATGGAACGTCTAAAATCTGCTAAAGGATCAGTTATGAGTTGATTCCAATTCAGTAGCAGAGAACTTGAGTTTCGGTTTTAATTTAATCACACTGAAAAATGATTCTTCTGTGTAAGGTGACATTACAGAATCTAGGGATTAAAACAAGACAACCTTTTGGGAATCTTTATTTAGCCTGTGACACCAAGTAACACCTCAGTTTTAGTAGTTTAGAGTTTACTAGACTGATATAGATCTGTCACACAATGGAATACTACATAGCATGCAGGAACAATGATTTTGTAAATTATTACCTAACTTGGGGGGAGGACTGGAGAACTTTATACTGAGTGAACTAACTTAGTCCCACAAGGACAAATATTGTATGAAACAGGGGTGGGCAGAGAGTGAAAGAGGGTGTGCAGGGGGCGGGGGAGGAGGGATTAATCATGGAACTCTACAATTTGATGGAGGGGATGAAGAAATTGGAAGACTCTTTTTCTGGAAAACAATGCATTCAAATTTTGTAAACTAGAATAATTGTTATTAAAAAAACAAAAAATGAATCTGTGATATGGAGCTCAGCTGGCCTAGTGGTAAGAAGCTACATTGCAATCCCAAAGGTACGTGGTTCGAATCCACCAGCTGCTCAGTAGGAAAAGAGTGGATCATTTCCTCCCAGGCAGTTTGCTGCCTTTGAAAATCTGCTGGAGGGTCAGCTATGGGTCATTTCTGTCTCGACAGCATACAACAGACTGACAGATGTACTCATTTCCTTCCTACTTTGACTTCTCTCTAACTGCATTTCTTATTATCAGCAGCTGTTAATACTAGATGCTAGATTATGAATGGTCTTGTGATAATTTTATACTTTATCATTAGAGAATTAGGAAACTAGGGTTTTTAAATAGAACCATGCCTTTACCAGGTATTTATTTGAGAAAAATACAAATGATAATAGTTTATCTTTCTAAGTAGAAAGTTAATAATATAAAATTGAAAACAGTATGCTTATAAAATTTTTCACAATTAGACAAACTCCTTTTCAGACTTTTATATTAAATATGAAGAAGAAAACTGTCCGAAGGATTGATAGTGGATATTATGAGAGTGTTGCAGGATAAGGCAAGGTTTTGTTGTTCATAATGATGCAATGAGTGATAGTAGATTCAGTGGCCTCCAACAACAGCAGCAATTTGGTGGCTGTTAAAATACATAACTTATAAAAATCCTACACATATTTTATCAGCTTTTAAATGTAAAATCATATTCAAGACTGCTTAACTCTACATCATCTAGTTTCTGAAAGTAGAAACAATGTTTTGTGATAGCAATTCTGTTTGTGCTGAAAGTTCTAAAGTAGAGATGACAAACTCAGGTTGTTTTTTGTTTTGTTTTTGGTTTGGTTTTGGTTTTTTTTTTACAAACTCAAGTTTTATAGAGGCCACTGAAGAGTAAGAGCACTTACTGTTTGCTGTCTAAACATAGTAACTAGATCTGAGCTAAACAAAGTCTGGTCATGAGGGCCATGACAGAATGTGGACCATAGTAATAAATTTTTTAAATAATTTCATGCATTTGGCAACTCTTGACATTTTTTTAAAACATTCCAAATTATTTAAGTCTAGACAAGATCCAATACTCAGCCTATTATTTTGCAAACAGTGTTAGTAAGATACACAATTTTGTTGAATTTATTTTTTTTTTTTCACTTTATTTATATATAGTCGACAGAGGTACGTTCTTGGAGACACAGCAATGCAGAAGATGGCTAAGTCCCATGTTTTCTTAAGTGGTATGGGTGGTCTTGGTTTGGAAATCGGTAAGCAATATTTTTATATATAATTATATGTAACTTAAAAATAGAGAGTAATTTATATAATTAACTTCTGCCCTTTGTATTTCCTCTATAAGGAAATTTTATCAGATTCAACTTTTATTGGTTTTATAAGACAATTTAATGATACTCTTAAGGTCTATCAGAAATCGGTAATGCTTATTTTATCTATTTTGTGGTGTAACAGCCATTTAGGATCATTGTCTATATACACTAATTCATTGTGATAAAACATGTATGTATTCTTATAAATAAGATTGGATTAATACATTGGATTGCCCACAAGGGTTATTGCAAAAAGTGCCATTTTGTTTATCTTAGTATTTTTTTAATATCCTAACATTTCTTGATTAAAAATGAAAATTATCCGAAGATTTGTTGTTGTTGTTATGTGCCGTCGAGTCGCCTGCGACTCATAGCGACCCTATGTACAA